TTGCCCTTGTCAAGTACAAGATAAATCCACAGCAAGAGCTTGATTTCAAGCTCATATTGCAAAGGAGGTAATTATAAACAAGAAAAAGGAGAACTACAGCATTGAAAGACAAGCTGAAGTGCATTCACAGTGTTGGAGGCCCAACTGCTACTGCAGCTTTATATTTAGCTCTATACACCCAACTCACTGCAGTTTATTCAAAACTTTGCAAAGTGAGTTCACAGAGGATGGACAAATGTTCAAACCTTGGTCCAATAGCATATTACAGGAGAGTAGAAAACAAAGAGGGAGGAACAGATTGTATAGTCAACTTTTCTTCTTTTGGGAAAGTCTGCCAGTAAAAACACACCCCACTGCTGCAACTACTATCAATGACTGCATGTTTGGAGAAGGCAATGTAAATGGACAGATTTTAAATCAGTGAAGCTATGCTGAGGTTCAGACTGTTCTCAAAGGCTTTACTTTACCTCTCTGAAGTCTTACCCCCCACAACACTGCCTTTTATAGCCCCTTGTAGAAAACCTCAAGCATACTGCCTTCTACTGTGAAATGCAATGCAATTGAGTCCTGACACCGAGAAACAACTGCATTGCGTCTTCTATTGCTTTACTCCAGGGGTATGCTAGTCACAATTACTGCTTTACAATAGTCCACCTTTCAATTTCAGGAATAGCTTTCAGCTCTGATAATCTGGGAAACCACAAAATCTGAAAAAGTCTATGAGAATTTCATACCCAGATACTGTTAACTCTCATCTAAAACTCCAGTGGGTTAACACAATAGATTGACTCATGCAGACAGACATTTACTCCAGCCTTATTTAAATCATCTTAACTGAGCTAAAATTATTTTTAAATGCGAATGTCTATTACATCTTCCATAGTTTAATCTGAATGGGAGACAACAGTGCCATTTGGGCAGAATAAATGTGATGGGGCAACAACTGCTTTGAGCCACAGCTTCACGCTCGAAGGAAGTCCTGTCCCACAGAAGAATAAAAAGCTCTCAGACAGCACAAGGCTGTGTTATCCAGATAATGGAGGCACTGTAGGGACGGAGCCATATAATACTGGTTCTCTGGCCACACAAAGGTGTGACAGCATGTGTTACTGACCCAATGCACTCACCACCATGCTGTTCATTCCCAAAACAGGAGACCTGACTCTTGTAGAGAATTACTGCCAGTCTGAAAATTACATGCATCCACTCAGGCAATTGCATTCAATATTCAGAAAACATTAATTGGCATTAAGAAAAGCAGATCACTTTGGGCAAGTCCTCCCTCTTGCCAGAAGTGACAGATTTCCTTCTCTCAGCTGCAAGCCTTGCTCTCAGCACTCCAGCCACTCATCACGCCGATTCATTTGCAATGGATGTAACTCGTATGGGCAACCACTAGCCCATATCATCATGCTTCCTACGCAGCTGCTCATAACTGTAGGCCTCTCAACAGCACCGAGCCTTCAATCAAAACAAATTGTTTGTTTCTTTCTGACCACAAGAAGAAGTCTGGTTTCATCGTTTGCTTTGGCTATATTGCCTGAGTAAAAACACACTATAATGCTAGGAACTCCACTCAGCCCTCTTCAGATCTAAAGCCATACGGTTGCAGTTTACAGTTCTGACTGACAATGCGAAATAATTCACAACTGCTTTTGAGGCTGTAGCACTCACCAAGGAAAACTTCTTTTTACACTTTATTACACTGAAGTCCTACATGACTGTGAAGGTGAAGATATTTGCTGAGGGGTTTTGGAAGATGGCATGAGAAAGGGTTTTCAAGGATGATATAGTGCACAGCATAGGGATACTCAAGCTAGTATGGGAATGGTAAGCCACCAGCCAGCACAGTGTGGGGCTCCTCAGGCAGCAGTCCACTCGGTCCCCAGCACCCAAGCCTCCTTGGCTCTTCCTAGGCTGCACTGGGAAAATTATTTGCTTTCACTCCTCTTACAGCAGCTTGGGAACAGATATATATATATTTCAAATAACCTTTGGAAACCTTATTTTCTGACATGTTCCTCCTGGCTGCTGGAAAAGCTACTCTGAATCCTCCTCGTTCTTTATGTTCTGCTTGTTAATGTTGCTGCCTTTGCCCTCCACAGAGCCCAGCTCCCTGGCACATCTTCTTATTGTAAAACAGAAACTTGTGATAAGCCTCAACACAGGTCCAATCCCAGAGCTAATGGAGACAGACAAAAATTATACTGAACTGGGACAAATCTGTAAATTTAAACACCCGTCTTTTGTATCATCTAATGGTATGTCAGAAGATCGTCACAGTCTGAAAGAGAGTAACACAATGTGGTTTCCTGAGACCGGGAGGGACTGGAGCCAGTGACCCAGGAGGTACCATCCCTTCCCATGCTCTTCTTTTCTTTCCATGCTCCCTTCTTGCTGCCACACATCTAAATTTAGGCTGTGAACTAATTTTAACTGTAAGAGGCATGGGGTTCACTCTTTTGAATGTCTGACACACTGTAGGAGCAGGGTAACTAAAACACAAATGCTTATGTAAATTCATCTTTGATTTTGTAATCAATTTAGTTCACTAATTTGTTGCAGGGATTGGCTGAAGTAACATGCCAGAATTTTTACTGCCTCTCTGCCATAAAACTGACAAGCGTAGGTTTTCTGGTTTTGTTTTTACTTCCTTTCAAGTGTAATAACTTCCCTTTTCATAAAATGCCAACATATTCTTTTAAAACTGTCAGGCTGCCATCAACCTGGTCATGATCCAGTGCCAGGCCATAGCCAGACAAGATGAGTTACAAGGTAATCTTTTCCCTGCCAAACAATACAAAGATATTGGCACCTTTCTCACGGCTGCAAATCAGCTCAAAGGGCTACAGAAATCAGAAACTCAAGAATCACTTCTTCCTCTTTACAGTGTTTGCCTTGCAAGGAAAGTGGCATTCTGCAAGGAGCCTAATATTTTCATTAATAGCACGCTGGTTTCTTCCCTTTCTCCAAGCCTTTTCCTCCACAAAAGTCCTGGATATGATTTTAATGAGACTGAGGATACACACCCCCCCCCCCCCCCCCCCAAGTTACACACTGGATTCCTGAAGACTGGTTTCAAGGAAATGTTACTCCCAGATGAAATACAAAGCAGCTGCACAACTTTGGCAGGGAAGACTGCACAGATGCCACCAAAAAGTGAATCACTGTCTCAGCCTAACTGGAAGTGCATCAATATTCCTATTCAGGAAGGTCATGTAGCAGTGGAGACCATCCCTGACATCATATAGAAAAAGCAGTTCAAAAGGCCACAGAACTGGAATATGGACCCCATTTTTTCCATATGACTGACATGAAAAGTGAGGGTTTGCGAAGTCCACCAGCTGGTAAATTAATGCATCAGCATAGTAAAAATTTTTAGACAGAACCTTAAAGCAGTTGTACTTTCATGAAGTGATTTTGAAACGGCACTTAGGTTCTTTGCTGCTACAGTCCCTCCAAATTCTTGTTGCTTTTAAGTGATTTATGTGGGTGGTACAGAACTTCCACCTGCTACCACCATCCCTCACCTTGGATTTCAGCCTCTTAACTTTATGGTTTGGAAAGGGCATCAAAAATCGTGATGAAAACAAGTGTCTCCCACCAGTACTTTCTATGCCTCTTATCCTAGTAAATGCATAACCAGTATCTTTGCACATGCAGAGAACGGGTAGGGATTGCAAGAAGATCCAGTTAGTGCTGCTGGCAAAATTTTCTTTCTTTTTCTTTTAACAACTTCAATTGCATGACCATAAAGTATACGGTTAGCCCAGCAGCATTAGTGCATCAATCCTTTCCCATACCAATTCACTGAGCAGCATGGTACTATGGGTGCCAAGCTGAGAAAAGCTAGCCTGGGCTCTGACTGAAGTCAAGATGGTTTTAATTTGGCCTGCATAGCACCACCAGGAACAGAGATTCATGGAGCCAAACTTCTGCCCTCAACCCAGTGTGGACAACTCCCTGTTTCTAATAAGGTAGAAAAAGGGTAAATTAAAGGCAGGATTTGCAGTCACAGTAGCAAAATAGTTAACAATGCCAAGACCTATTCCAAAACAGAGACAGCTGCGCACTCTGGCAATGCTTGCAGCAATAAAAGCAGTAAATAGTAATTTCTGTCCCAAGAGCACGCATATAGGGATATGTTATCAGGTATTTGCTGATAATGGTGTGTTATGGAGCGATAATGGTATGTTATGAAACAATAATGGTATGGAGGAAAGGTGAAATTTTTTCATAATGACTTTTCAAAGTAGAAATGTCCTCAGGAAGGCACTGGGTTAGCTAATGTAACATATTTATAGATATTACTGATAATTACTTGTCATTAGAACAAATATGCATGTTTATCCACACACAGTACTTGTAGAAATGCCCACACAACAAGTATAGCAGCCACACACATACTTTTTGAAATCTTGGACTACCATTAGTCAGGTTTCCGCTCAAAATAAATGATTTATCAATAGACAGTAGCCATTCAATAAGGGATTTGGCCAACATATTACCTCTGGGAAACTTGAATGAGAATTTATGGCAGTAGGTTACAGCTCCCTGGACTGGTAAGGGTACATAACTCTAGTATTCATAATTCTAGTGTTTGCGTCCCTTAATCCAACACAAGGTATCATTAGAAATGTAATGTTTACACTCACATTAGAAATCACAAACCCTGAAGCACACATTATTAGAGAGATGGTAGCTGAATATCGAACACATTAATTTTAAGGCATGAAGTTTGAGACAAGCACGCAGAGGATGATAGTAAAACTTTCGCAATAATACAGCTCAATTGTTCCGGAAGCATGAAAAGAATGATTAAAGAAAATAAAAAAGAGAAAGGTGACACAGCTCACTGAAAGCATGAAGTGATTTGGGAGTTTGTCTAGTTCTGCTTAGGAAGCCAAACGAACAGCTCACCAAGGGAAAACGATATCCAGTGAGGAAAGGAAATCAGATGAATACACAATTTACACACTGTCTAGATAAGAGATATTTACCTTCAGATAACTTTAAATTCAACTACTGAAATCAAGTATTTCCGGTCTCCAAAACTCTTGTGACTTAGACCAACATCTTAATAGCTCTAATCCGTGTAGTTGGAGATGAAAAAAGAAAAGAAAAAAAAAGAGAAAATCAAACAGAGCTTGAGGTACGTTACACTCCAACTTGATCTGTTACTGGATACAGAGCAAGATAAGGTATATTCAATAAGGAAGTCCTCAGGCAATCTTCTGCTTATAGAGTACTGCAAACAAAGTAGCCCTCTTTAGCTTGCTCAGTATATTTCATATGAAATGTTTAACTAGAAAATGGTATTATATTAAAAATAAATCTCCAAGGAGAGTTGCACTTCAGCTGCACTCCAAAGCTCAGCGCAAAACATTAGGCATGCAAGTTATGATGATGGAGAAACCAAATTTCCACTCTTAAATTTATATGGCATAATTAGTGACAAATCTACACAGAAAAATATTTTTAAAATACTTTAGTGGTTAAGCAGCACCTTCCTTTCTGATGAACTAATGCTATTCTTTACATCAAATCTAACCTCACTCAGTAGTTGCTTTTGATATCAAAGTGGAGCCTGGTGCCATGAAAAAATATTAAAACTGGTGTAAAATTGAATTTTACATGCTCTTTAAGGCATCTTAAAAAAGTTGTAAAGGTTGTCTTGATATTATTGGAACCCAGCTTCTTTGCTTATGCATGAAAAGCCCTTTCAGGTTTCTTTCATAGCATCATAGACTCATTTAGGTTGGAAAAGACCCTCATATCATTGAGTCCAACCACTTGCTCAGTCTTCCTGTTCTTTCTCTTGTTTCCTGGAAAGCAACAACATACTAGCATAATACTTGCCAGTGAACCACGTAAATCCAATGAAAATGTACGCACTGGATCTCGGTGGGTCAAGACTCAGCACCAGAATCATTCTCCTCTTTATCTCTGTGCTAGTCTCCATGAAATAGCCTTTTACAATCCCAAAGAAGTCAGGAGGACAAGCACTAACAACCCCATTTTACACATTGTTACCACAGCTCCAAGGATTTTTGACAAAAGCATGTGGAAGAATGTAGGGCATAGGTAAACGGGAAAGTCCTCTGAGTATGTGCTATCAGTAAGCTTGCCATCTCTTCATCTGGGTGGAACCTCATGTAAAGGGGCCACTGCTTTTGTGCTAAAGCTGTAAACTAACTTGAAAGACTAACCTTACGAAAGACTAATTTAACTCCTCTCTTAAGGAAAGGACTCATTCTTCTTAGGAAGTACCATATGCTGTTGGATGTATGGAGAGTGAGAATTAATTGTGGACAATGATATAGGTGCTGCACTCATCTATAATGTAACAGGAACATTTTGAAGGAAAATAAATACAGATGAGTCCTCTGACATATGAATAGTAGCAGAAGGGAAGCTTGATATGTTCAGCATATGGCAATACATAGTTTTTAAGTCTTCACTAACATAGCTCATGAAATGTCACCAACATACCTTGAAAACAGTGGTATTTTTTAATTATCTTTATTTGTTTTGACATTTCAGCCTTTACTATTTATATGTTCTTTAGCATTAATGTTGAACCAATCTGGCTTTATTTTAGCAGGCAACACTTTATTAACACTCTAGAACTTCAAGTTTCCTCAAAAATGCCTTCAAAATGCAATTTGAATGACAGCCAGCCATAAAAGCTACCTCAAACTGAAAAGGATTAAAAAACGGAATGGACTTTGGAATGAAGAATGTCTAAGTTCAGTTACCTAAGTCTTATGAAAATATAGCAAACACGAAGAGTAGATGATGTGCCACAGGGAAAAGTCTTACACAGGCTGATTGCCTAATCAACATTTCTTTCATGGATGCACTCTCAGTCATAGCATACTGGTGAGTAAAGAAGTGCCAGTGCTTTGAGTTACATTCACATGCCAATGCAAACTTGAGCTGCATTTAACATATTTGCCTCAAAGAAGAAACATTCCCATAGTAACCTCATAGTTTACCTCAATCCCTCCACCCTAGGCACCCTACAGCTGGGAGGGGATCACTTTCCGCAACATAAAATGGGAGTGAGAAAAGCCTAAATATTTGAAATATTTAGCTATATTTAACTTTGTAAAAAGTAGTTTACCTTGTACATGCATCCTGTTTCCCCTCCATGCTCTATCAGCATAGCGGAGCTCTCAGCAACACGGTGGTGACTCTCTCCACTTCAACTCCAAGGGTAGCTGTAAACCTTCACAGCCATGTTTTGCCCTGGGTCATTTGCTTCAAAGAGAAAAGTGAAAAAGAAAAGTGGAAAAGCAAAAGAGGGTACAGAATTAGCACTATCCTTTTCACTCCTGTGGCTGACCAGGAGGGAGGATTAGCTTCCTTTCAGAAATCCTCCAGCCTTTAGCCTTTAAGGCCCAAAGAGAAATAATAGAATTTTGGTTGTTCCTCTTCCTGGGGGTTTAAAACGTCACCAGATTTTAGGAACTGAACCAACAGGGGAGGGAAAGCGTTCTCACAACTAACTGCCTTCCTAACATTCTTTCCCAGCATTCATGGGACAGAAAAAAAGCCACAATAAAGTGCCTACCCTGCCACACCTGGTAATTACTAATTACACAGTTAATCACACTGGAAAGGCCACACAGCCTAACTGAAGTAGAAACTACGGCAGAAATATCTTTTTTCTTTTTTTTTTTTTCTTTTTACTGTTGCTCTTCTACTGCTTTGTGTGTGTGGGCAATCAGAAGCTGTCATTTTCAGGCTGCGTGGATGGCAAAAGCTAGAACTGACATATTTAACTTGGGAGGAGGAAAGGTGAGTTTTATGGTGAATGGCAGGAGCCAGTTAAAAACTAAACACCTGTCATCTTAAATAGAAGGAAACCTGCTATCTACCGAAACTCTACTGAGCAGAGTCCAACCCCACCTACAGAGAGCTTGAATTACAGGATATTTGTTATAACAAACAGAAGAATGCTAGGGAACCCAAGACAGGAGTCAGGCTGGGCAGTGTTGCAGCTGTCTCCCCAAGGCGACAACCTTTCCCCCAGTGCAAAGGGCAGCCCCGCCACGGAAGAAATTGTCATTTGCATAGTCAACCTCCTTTTTGTTCCTCGGCCTCAAGGCTAGAAGAAAGGTAGTCGTCCTGCTGTTTGTGGCTATGATCCCATGGGAAGTGCTGCCCCTTCCTCCTATAGGGAATGGAAAATAAAATGTTTTACATGAACTACAGCGATTCTTCAAAAATCATCAGGCAAGGGAAAGGGTAGGCCTATCAGTGATCATTTGGAGAATGCTTCCCAACGGCCAGCCCAAAGGTCCTTACCAGAAGAAGCTGGGGAACTCAGGACCTCACATGTACTGGTCTAATACATCAAGAAGCAGGACTGCCATGGGAGAACAGGCCACACGCTCCTTGGAATTCAGTGTATCTGGCTGGCTGATGAGAAAGTATGGCCTTAGTTCTCTTATAAACCAGAAATAAGACTAATGGCATCAGAAGAATTGCAGCAGGGCAGAGGTGGTAAGAAAAGGGAACATGCTCTCTGATTATTTGACATAAGGTGGGTGAGAAAACAGATCCCATCTTAGGAAACTACTATATAGGAGCTAGCTAGGTTAAATATAAGAGCTTGCTAGGTTAGGTCAAACAACAGGCTATCTCAATATCTTGTCTCAGACGGAATGCAGCAGCAGATGCTACAGTAGGTGCATGAGAAACAGCAAGAATAAAACAAATGTTCTGCTTCTGCTTGCAAAACTAGAGGGATGACAGATAAAGCCCCTCACTATGTAACCTCTCGCTACTTTTTCTGCTGCCAGAAAAACAAAGGAATGGAAAACAAATATTTTTTTGCAACTTTTCTCCTTTCCATACAATGTTAATAGTATAGATCAAATTCAGAAAGTAAGCTGAAATACAGAAGATGCAACGTAACAGCTACTACTCCTGCATTCTTAGGAACTGAACAATCTTAATATTCATTACAGAACTAAGATAGCACAGAGGATTGAGACGCCAATCACTGCCTTCCATATACAAACTGAATATGCTATAATTATTTCCATCTTCTTACTTAGAAATAAAAATTTTGTTTGAAAGCAGAGCTGGTCATAGGAAGCAATGGCAAGCATAAGCCACAGACTTAGCATAACCTACTTGTTTCCCAGTGTATCAAAAGTGTATGCATGCAGCTGAAAGGTTTGAACAGCTATAACTGAAGGGAAAATTTGGCCTGGTCTGTAAAATCAGGCTAAAATAATAGTCAGATCCATACTCAGTACAGCTTCCCCTCCCTCCCTTTTTTTTTAAGCATCATATCCACTAGTTCCCTAGCTTAAATCTCTTGCTGAAAACTTACTTTAAAATCTGATACTAAACAGCCCAGCCATAGTCCTGATACAAAATACAGTACTACAGATGACACACTGGGAAAAATAAAACAAAATTAACATACCAATCTTTGTGGCTGGACCACTATACCATTACTGGCATTTTGCTTATGTAGTGATTCCATTGGTGTTTTGCATTACATGGCAAAACCATAGGTTCCCCTTCTAAGAAAAGACTTGCTTAATGTGCCAAATGGTACATCTGGAGAGAAGTACTGCCAGCCTGCAATGATAAAAAAAAAAAAAAAAAAAATTAATCTGATGCCTGCTGGCTACATTTCTAAAGGAGGGCACTCCTCATAATATTTCTACTGAGAAACATATTTTGGTAATGTATTGTCTAAAGCTTTCAGGCCAGGAAGTGTCTTTAATCCATTATTCTATGGCTTTTTATTTTTTTGGCAAATCCTGTAGCTGCAGGGGAGATGACTGCAGGTTTGGTGAGATAACATGTATTATTAGTGCTTTGCTTTATCTTGTTCATTAAAATATTCTGTTGCCTTCCACTGTCAGAGACACCATCAGGCATAGAATTCATTTGATCTTTGACTGAGTAATGTAAAATGAAGCCCTTTGCCTTATAGTGTAGATTTAGTGTCATATGGTATTTAAGGCTTAACACATACATCAGAGAAAACAAGTAGAAAGGACCTAGTAGATCAGACCTGGTCCATTAGAACACGTTTTTCTGAAATGTATTAAATTGCTACCATATAAAGTCTAGTCAGCCCTTCCAAGCAGTGACTTCTGCCACTTGTTCAAATCAAGCTGTTACTGGCAATGGGATTCCTGCAGGGGGAACACCTCTGTGCCCCTTGTCTATTGTTACAGGGCTCTGGACAGCTAAAAGGATCTGACTATACAACTCCAAGCAGAGACCTGAGTTGCAGCAGACATCCACATGAAGTTTTTGATTTAAGTAGCTTCAAACCATGTCTCCTTTTTAAGTGTTTTCTTCCTGACATTTTCACAGAAAGAAAAAAAAAAATCCCAAGCATTTTAGACTCTGGAGATTCAAGTTTGCACAGAATGATACAAGCAGAGGTCAGATCTGCAAGGATTTCGTCCCAGTGATGTAAAATATAACTGCTATTAGGAGAAGTAACATAATAGATGTCATGGATGATGCTACTGCGGCACGGTACACAATTAATTCATCGTAGACTCAAGACACCACCAAACACATCTGCCCCAGCACACAAGGCAGGGATACAAAGATGCCTTGGAGCAAGGCTTTGCATTGCTAAAGCTGTGCCAAACCATCTGAGAGCAAAACTGTACAAATCTGCAGCCGTTTCAGAAGCTGAAGGAGTGCTCTGGTTTTGAGGTTTGTAACAGGCCCTGCATTAGAAAAGGCCATCCAAAGAATACGGGTGATTTTTTTCCATGAAAGGTGAATGATTTTCCAACCGAATACCTCCCTGATCCACTGATTCTAGGCATGCTTTCTGGAGTTTTTCGAAAGAGACCTACATTATAGATCTCAGAACAAGTGTTCCCAAAACACTGCTCTAGAGTTGTTCATAACCAGTCTGAAATTGTCTGTGGACCATATTAAATACTCAGTGGGGAAAAAAAGTGATGCCTTTTTCTAAAGAGTATTTCATATCAAAAAATTGCACGGGGAAAGTTGAGATAGCTAAGACAGGGTACTTAGTACAGCACTACGAATGCTTCAGGGATGACACATCACTGCATGTGACAATGTAGACACAACACAGGTAAAATACTTGAAATTCTGTAAAAAGGCTATGGGTCATTATTACTGACTCACACTGCAAGGTTAGGGCTGGGAGGGGTAGGAGAGAAAGATGTGCCTTTCAGGGTTACATCTCTTGGAAGTTGTCTTTATGCTGTGAAACTTATCAGTTAGAACAAAGACAATGATAAGAGTTGGCTTGGTCAAACTGCTGGTTTTGAATGGCACATGTATGGCCACACTTTGCCTGCTTCCCTGCTAGTTTAGGTGCATGTAACTGTGCTACAGACATCCCTTCAGCTCTGCTGGGTAGCTGTACTACTTCAGCCTTCAATTAGGTAATCACCACTTCCCATAGTATTAATGAATACTGAAAAATAGAATGAAACCCACATTGACCTTTCAAAAAGTCCCTGTCATAATCTTCCTTACGCAGACAAACTGCCAGCTGTCACAGGAAGCTTCCGTGTTTCATAATGTAAATAGTATAAATTGCTTTGATGTTTATCAGTGCTTCCTTAATCTGGAAGCACCTCCTCACAAACTGACTGCGCACATTAAAAGACCGACCTGAAGTTTGCAAATAAGTCAAGTCTGGCAAACTCATCTGTCCTCGAAATATACTGATGTTTTTCATCTCACACAGCAGTCCCTTTATTTTCCCAAAGATCAGAATTTTTACATTCCAGGAGGTAGTTTTCAGGATCGTTCTTTAGTTCCTTCCTGAAGAAACATGTTTAAAAATTGATCTTATCTAAGTTATTTCCCTTCTCTGACACAGAACATTAATGGAAATTTGAACAAAGAATTCAGAGCAGCATGCCTGTTGACAAGTGGATAAGGAGTGTCTACATTTAGACACAAGCTACTGAAATTTTCAAACAGCTTGGGGACATTAATCTCTACAGAGCCTGATGTTATTTGTTTACTTTCAGTGTCCAGACCTGTGCTTCATTTTATTGAATAATCAGCTCTGAAGTCTTCCCCGTGGCACATAATGCGCATCTCTTATTTTAGTGTCAGACAAAAGATCTACAAGGATCAAGGATCATAGCATGTATCATGAATTCTCGCTGAACTTCTTTTTCTGTAGTGAAAACATTATTTTTCCTCCAAAAACCTGTAATTGCAAAAGAACAAAGCTCATAGTGAAAATAGATGTGTCATGGATTTATCCAATGATAAAGTAAAAGTTCCTTAATATTTAACTTTCATAATAACACCTAAATTAGGTACATGCTTTCAGAGACACAAACTGTTCCAAGCCTTGCTGTTTCACAGATGGTGGATGCAGAGACTAAGTGATTGACTGAAAGTAACACAGCGAGTCTGTGGCAAAGTCAAAAACTGATCCAAGAACTCCTGATTCCTATCCATTGCCTGAACCACAAGATGATTGTGTCTTCCAACTTGCATTATTATTTTGTACCTTTATATGTCATTTGCCCTCATCATGCCCTGTTAAAATTGCTGTCAATACTATAGAAAACACCATTTTTATCATCAATAACCCCCATGTTCAGCATCATAAGCTCTCACCCCACCTCAAGGGAGGTCCAGGAACCCCTCCCATCACTATTCCCAGACACACAGCATTGACAGCCCACCTCTCAACAGTCCTGTGAACACAACCCCACAGACCTCCTACCTCCTCCCAACCTCTTGAGCACAATCTGGCTTGCAATCTATTTACTAAATGCCAAACTAGGTGTGGTATGTGTGCATGTCTCTGCTGTACCTATTAGTGTCTTCAAGGCACCTGTGGTTCAGAAACCCCTTTCCTACCTGGTTCATGCTCTCACTGGTGCTGAGCAGCTTCATACAGCCAGCTCCAGCTGCAGGAGCAAGATCCCAGTGCTCGTGGAGGGACCATGCAGTAAATGACACCTCTGCAAATACGTTTTTGAAGAACTTAAATTCCAGGGAGGAAAATCCCAAAGCTTACACCTTTTCGGGAGGATGACTGAGAACATGGTAACAGAAAGACTGCATGGGAGAGATTCAGAAAAATACAACCTGCCTTTAACCACTTCACATTACTACTTGTCAATGGGAAATAAATACTATACGTGTGTCTCTGAAAGCATCCCTGATGTGATATGTTGTGCAAAGCACATGCCAGAAATCTAGGAATTGCATACCACTGTTTCTTGGCACTGACCACCACAGAATGGCTCATCGTACCTCGCGTTCACACGTGGAGTGCCTCAGGTTCTTGCCAAGTGAAAAGAAATTGTGGTGGTTTAGAAGCCATCAAATCCAGCTTCCACAGCTCTTAAAAAAATGCTGTGGGAAAAAAATGAAACAAGCATGGGAAATATTTGCATAGAAGAATAAATTAATATGGAAGTCTACAGTGCATATAACATTTATCAACAGTAAAAATAACAGTGATTATTTCCCCCTTGAAAATTCTTTAATTTTCACAAACACACATACCTGGGTTTACTGTTCCATAAAGCAGTTCATCCAGATTTGTTCCTAATAGCAAGATTCCATAACTTACAATGGACCAAAAATGAAAAACTGGATCCTGTCAATAAATGCCAGACAAGTTGTGATTAAAAAAGAATTTTGGGATGAAGATTCCTGGGTAGCCATGGAAAAAAACACATATTGATCATTTCAGTTCAGCATTCTCCCTTTCCCAAGGAAAAGAACATGAAAACATGCATTTGTTTACATCAGTTTGAAAGGAAGTGGTAGAAAGAATGACTGTAATACTTCCCTGTCCAACATTATTCCCTGGCTCTCTCAGCATCTTCTGATGTTTGAGGTGAATCTGCACAAACTGTAACTTTGCTAAACTTCTCAAAATATATGAACAACAAAATCAAAATTAGGTAGTAATGGATACGTGGAATCAATGCCACCTTCTCTCTCTCTTAGTCCACCAGCAGGACCTAGCAAAGCCTATCCAGATTTGTATTTGAACCCCACCAGCACCAGTGGGAATGTGTTATTCAGAAGTGTAAGAACAATGGAGTTTATTTCAACATTACCACTAATTTCTGGTCCCTGTCTCCAGTTTGACCAGTTGCCATAGCAAAGTGAGGAAGCTGTGGAATGGGAATGATAGCATGACAACAGATAAAGAAGAGCATTATCATCAGACTTACCTTACAGTCTGATGATCATTTATCAATATTTGAGTTATGCTTTCCATTATAGCATTTGCCATATTCTATTACAGACTTAGAAATACCAAGGAAATATTAATTTCAAACTATTAAGTTATTCCAAAGGTGATCATTTGGAAAAAATAGAATACCTTACTCATTAATTTAGTTGCACAACATGGAACCCCAAGAACCACTACAGGTTGGGGGCTGACCTACTGGAGAGCAGTTCAGCTGAGAAGGACCTGGGAGTATTGGTGGATGATGATAAATTGACTATAAACAGCAGTGTGCCCATGCAGCCAGGAGGCACAATAATATCCTGGGATGCACTGGGAGGAGTGTGGCAGTAGGTCAAGGGAGATGATCCTCCCCCTCTGCTTGACCCTGGTGATGCTACATCGGGAGTGCTGTCCAGTGCTAGGCTCCTCAGTACATGAAAGACAAGGAGCTACTGAAGAGGGTCCAGTGGAGGACCACAAGGATGATCAGGGGTCTGGAGCATCTCTTCTGAGGAGAGATTGTGGAAGCTGGGCCTGTTTAGTCTAGAGAAGAGCAGACTGAGAGGGAGTCTCATTAGTGCAGATCAATATCTCAAAGGTGGGTGCCAGGAGGACGGTGCCAGACTTTTTTCAGTGGTGCCCGGTGACAGGGTGAGGAGCAATGGCCGTAAACTAAAACACAAGAAGTTTTACCTCATCATGAGGAAGACCTTCTTTATGCTGAGGGTAGCAGAGCACTGGAATAGGTGCCCAGGAGGGCTGTGGAGTCTCCCTCTCTGGAGACATTCAAAACCTGCCTGGATGCTTTTGTGTGTAACCTGCTCTAGGTGACCCTGCCTTGGCAGGGGGCTGGACAGGATGACCTTCCAACCCTAGTGACCCTGTGAAAGCAGGACTGTGCTCTTCCTAACAAGCATAAAGTGGAAACTTTAGGTCTCATGTGGATACCCATGCTGTTAATTTGACTGGTAATCCCTGGAAGACACTCCATCTGGCATATTATCCTCCTGGTCCACAACACATCTGACAATTTATTGACAAATTATTTCTCTGAAAATATGCTATTACTCCTGGGTGCACTGGGCAGTCTCCAGTGTGTAGCAGGCTCCAAAAGAGCATGCTACTAAACTTGAAGGGCCTCACAGGATTTAGTAACAATTAAAATAAGAGACAAGATGCTGAACATTTTGTGTGAGGGTTCTCCTGCTTAGCAAGTCACAAAATTGGATTTGTAATCCCATTAGCTTTGTTACCTCAACAATAACAGGATTTTTTGAGGGGGTGGTGTTGGGGTTTTTTTAGGAAGTAATAGGGGATAACCTCTATTTCATTCGCTGCCATACTGTTATCTGTTTGGCACTCAAGTGCCTGATAGCTGCTAATGTGGGTTGAAACAGTTTAATCTAGAATTTGCCTTAAGAAAGAAAAAAAAGGGTGATAAATAAAAGGAGATATGTGACTGTGGTGGAGGAGCCCTTGGGGTCCAGCATTTGAGAACGATCAGTGGACTGGGCACTCAAGGAGAAGCAGCACTACTCTTCCCTCCATACCAGCTTGCACACAATCCTCCCCCCATCTCCAAAACATCCTTTGCAGCAACAAGTTGTCCTTGGCATGACCCATGTTTCCAGCTAGTAAAGTCCTCATCTGTTCCCCCCATTCCCTCAGAAGGCATCAGTTTTCTATTTTAAAAATATCAAGTCACCCTATCTCAGCTGCATTATAAACAAAGACAAACAAAACAATCCAAAACAGTTTTGTGTGTGTGGAACGAGAAAAAAACACTTCAAACCCAAAGAAGTTTCCAATAAGTCACTCATTGAAATTCAGGAAGAAAAAACCCCAAAGCGTAAAAATACCCCCATGTATCCAAGTTCTCTGAGGCCATTTCTTTCCCTCATCTGTGTTCCATCATCTTCTTCCTTATCCAAAAAAGTTGCGGTGTCCGTGGGAGTATGAAAAAACATTGGTGTGACCACCGAAAGGAACTCTCTGTCTGGCAGCAGAAAGCCACGCGTTATCCTGTCTCCAGGAACTCAGCCTTGCTTCGACGGTCATAAATATTCTCTGATGACAAAACAAAGGGTAGTCATTCATCCAGACTGAATAATACTTTAAAACCTTGAAAAGCACACTGGCATCTGTCCTCTGTCCCCAGCCAGAACATTAAGACCCATGGGAAACAACCCCTGATTGGCCTTGTGTGTAGGAGACCCCAGCACTGCCCACCTTCATTGTCAGGGCGTTCCAGGCAGAAAATAGTGTTGGACTTCTCCTATTCACAGGTCCCAGTCCATTACATTATCTGAGGACAGTATGAAGCTTTACACTCTTCCCAATTCTCCCCTTTGCAAAAATACTTCCCATGTTTTTTTGCTTCTTAGCCTCATCCTGTCTCGAATGTGTATAGGAAGCCAGTCTTTACATTATGTAGGCATCAGTGGATGCTGCTTCACAGGGCAGCAAATGAAAATACCATATCTGTGAGTGATCAGCCTCAACTACATCACTGAATGACACACAAACACACAGAAAGGCTGAAAAAAGCATCCAAGCACAGGCTATCTGAGTAATGATAGCTGGTGTATGCTATTAAAGGGTACCCAGAAATTTAGGTCACCTTTTAGGATACACTCTGCCCTTGGAAGCTTTCAAAGCTTTACAAAACATTTAGATAAGTGTCATTAAAAGGGGGAAAGGGGAAGACCCATTGCAATATTTATTGCACTATACGGAGTAATCGGAGATCTAATTTTCAAATATAACTTTACATCTTCTTGTATAAATATTCCGCCGGTGCAAGCAGATCCACAATCAGTAACATACGTCACAGCTTTGCAAAAGTGATCGATGAGAAAATTATGAGTAGCTTTCATTAAGTCAGTGGAGAAAAAAGATCAAAACGTGAGTTACTTTCCTCTTTCGGACTCCCTTTCTACCCCAACCCCAAAAGTTATAATATATTTACAACAAATAAATAATTCTATGCTTACCTGTATGCTTTCTACTTTTATGGGAGTCTTTTGAGTTAAATGTAATGTTGGCATTCAGGGCTGAAACAAGTAATAAAACTAACCTGTTTATTAGTCACTGTAGTTTTAGAATTATATTCGCATTTCTTCCTTTGAGAACATAACTGATTGTTGACACAATGGAGGCCAAGCATGCATTTATGGTGCATGATATCATTGTGTGGCTAATAGAGGGAGTTTACTTATTCCACAGATGACTGCCACAAGAGAATGTAATTGCTCAATAATGTGTCGATGTACCCATGGGAAGGATTTAAGTCATCTGAGACCCATATTGGGAACTTGCCAGGGACCCCAGCACTACCTCTAATTTGCACGAAATAGTGGAGTTGTGGCCGTCTTCCACAATGAGGATAAACATAAGGAAGGAGAAAGTCAGGAAGAGCCAGAAAGGCACCCCAAATACAAAAATCTGTTAGACCTTCAGCTGACATGAATGAATTGAAGGCTTAGTGATTTAAAAAAATCAAGTTTTTACACTTCGGAGTTCAGAGAAAGAGTAAGAAAAACCACTAGATTAAAAAAAAAATATTAAAAATTTGAATTTTTATTTGTTAAGAGGTCTGACGTGGAGGGTATTGCCCTGGAGCTGTAAGATCCCAACAAATGTAAATGGTAAATGTATCCTCATAAAAATTATGATGATATGCCAATTAAAAAAAAAAAAAGAAAAATGGAAAGTATTTCTCAACTAATTGAAAGAAACTAGAAGGGGAAAAACTGCTACCCAGAGGCAGGAAATAAAAACTGTACGAGTAGCAAATGTCCAAGGGGACAAGTCAAAGAAAGTGCAGCATACTCTAGTATATAAGATGACAAGGAGAAATTACCACATCAAAAATTAAAGGCTCAAAAAACCCCATCGATACAATGCCTGGCTGAAAACTATTTACAAACAACAAAATCTTCGTACCATCTATACTATAGCTTTAGCTTTTTAATTGTGTATCAAGTTAAAGTGGAACACTTGATTGATTGACGACTACTAAAGCAGAGTTAAGAGCTCACTGACTACTGCAAATCAAGTAACAATGCGAGATCAAGCTAATAAATCAGAATATTTTCTATGCATCTCAAGGACACAAAGAGTCATAGGATGAGATTCACCTTGGTGGATGCCTATTTTTAGGTAGTAATACCTTTGACTGATTTTGAGAAGACTAAAAAAATGCTTCAGTTCAGGTACATGCATTAAGAAAAGTATTTGTGTGAGTGAAGGGCTTGGTTGGGAGTTCATCATTGGATGTATTGAGCAACTTTTAAAACCAATGGAAATTGTAACTCTCTCCATCAAGACCCATAACCATGTAAAAAGACCCTGCAGATAAAGTGAGAATGACCAGAAAGGCCCACTGGCTAGGGCAGAACTGGAATTTAAAGCCTCTCCCAGTATCCCATTGCAGAATTTTTCCTGAATTTTCAAAATGGTTTATGGGATGTTTTCTGTCCATCTTTCCCCAAGATGCAGCTCAGAACCACCTGCATACTCTTAGCACAAAAGGGTTCAACCTTGAACCCCACAGTGAGTCAAATGATCTGATTCAATGAGAAGCACTGTGTCATGATGTGATGTTCAGGGCCCATATGTAACCTACTCCCCCAAAAATCCCACACTAGTTCTGCTGATTTCAGATTAGTTTTTCAAACTAGTCCTTTCCCTAGCTCCCCCTCTATATCCCCCTTCCAACACAATCAGATTTTTCACATGCTCAAATAAGATTTAGAAATCTGCCCAATGGCAGGTGGGTGGAGGCACTCCAGATACTATGTTTGTTGGTAGCCCAGCAGTTATTTGTGGTTGACTTTTTTGGTTGCCCACAGGAATTCCCAGGGTGGTGTAAACAGACAGATGTGGGTTCTTTTCTGCTATATAGATCACACCATAGAGAGATATCAAAGGAAAAAAACAAATCCATGAATAATGCACTAGTGGCAGCGTTTGAAGATCAGAACTTTTAAAGACTGGCCTCTAAATTTATTGGTTTAATTGCTGGGTTTCGGACACATTGGCCACCAGATAGCTTTTGAAATCAAAGCATCACTGGAAGGTTTCCTGAATATTTAAAAGTTCATACAAAGTGAAAGCAGGCACAAGTACTGGCAAACTCAAAGCTGCACTCACCCTGTCACCACTGCCCTAACCTTAAACGCTAAAATTGCTCTCTCTTTCTTTCCATCAGTACCATATTGGTTTGCTTTTACTTTAGTGATGCATCTCAACAACTATCCCACGGCTCTTTGCTGCTCTACCATTGGCAAGCTAAAGGGGAGGACTTCAAGGGTCTGTGTGACAAGATAGACCTTTTGGTGGCTAGATTAGTAAAGCTCCACTGATCCCAGGTTAACTCACATTGGCCAGGAATATTGTTCTCTTTTTTGTTTATTTGATTTTACTGATACCATTATGCAAAAATTACTTTGCCATGTGATTTTTGTGTTCCTTTTGCTCACACAAGAGACACATTGTGGCATTTTTTCCCTTGAGATTAACAAGCAGCACATGATTAAAATCATGTTAACTCAACAGTGCAACTTGCTAATCATTCTTACTCTGGAATTGCCAGCTAAAGCTTTTTTCATCATTTATTTTTTCAGGAGGATTTGTGTATGTTTCTGTCAGTCTATTTTAGAGCATGGCAGGTTAAAGAGGAGCTTTGATTCATGGCTGGACATAGATTATTTTAAGTAGAAGGAAAAAGGAGTCTTGGTTTTAACAGCATTGCACTGTCATCTTGCGGTTGCAGCGCTCAGTTCCTAACCCTTATTTGGAAATGCCTTGAACAAGAATTTGATGTGAGCAGGAAGAAACGGTGATTGCCTCACTCCTGGGGCTTGGGTTTGTTTGGAAGCCTCCTTCCTGCCACTCTTGTGACAACAAGACAGACTGACCTTGCCAACTGCTTCCACAACAGTTCTTTCCATCTCCTTCCTCCGTGAGAGGAGAGCGTGACCTCCTCCATAAGACCATCATTATTTAGAAGACTCCATCTCCTTCAGACTTCCAGTACTTCTACTATGAAGACTTATTCGAAGACACATTTTCAGGACAGTGTTGTGTACAGTCCTCCTTCCTGCCTGAGCTTTACAGAGGGAATGCTCAACCACTGTCAGCTCCTGAGCATACATCTCTTTCACTACTAAGGCAAAACTATGCAAACACCTTTTTGGCTTAATTTGCTTTTTCCAACTTGTAAACAGGAACCGTTTTTGCCTCTTTTTCTGGACTGCTCAAGATACCAGCCAGCATGGGGTGCTCCTTGTAGACACCTCCAACCAGCATAAAAGAGTTTTATTTCCTGAACTTGTCCAAGATGTAGGAGAGAGCTCCAAGCTAGGCTGAGCTAGGCTTCCTTTTGCCTCCAGCTGTGCCATTCCCTGAGTCCTTATATCCTCCTGCTGGCTAAAAATAAACCATATATAAGAAATACACATAAAATGCACTCAGTCCCAGTGAAGTCTGAGGTAATCATCTATCAGTGCATGACTAGAAATGCTGGAATGGTAGTCAGCCTAACTAGTGTGCAGCATGAGGGGACTCAAACCACAGACTCAAAAGCTGCAACCGTATCCTCCTCCTCTGAAAGCAACAGGTAAATCTGCTATTATAGATTCTTGCTCACCTTTTACCAATACCAGGAATCAAAAACTAAAAAATCTATGTAGCTTCTATTTGTGCTCTTCACTTCAGCAATTTTTCTTAAGTTAGAGAAAAAAAACAAACTCAGAAGGTCACTATTGTTATCTTCAAGTTTTGGCTTTTGTGTTTGGGTTGCCAGTACTTTGAGGGAACGTTTATTTTTGCAGAAACCATTGCTAATATTAAAAGTTGGAGGGGGGGGGGGGGGGTCAGAAATAAGTTTCTGTGGGGCTCAGTGTAGTACTTGGGAGGAAAACCACTGTATTTTGGTTAGAATTGTTTACTATTGTTCCTCTGAATGGAATCTGAAGTATGCATACTGAATTCCCCATTTTCAGACAGAAATGCCTACAGCTTAAAATGTTGTAAACCGTGTTTACTTCAACTTGGTTTACACATGTGAAAATGTTCATGATCTTGCAAATGGATTATCACAGATACACTTATGCATTGACTCAAAATCTTACTACCAGCAGAGGGATCCTCTGTGGGTTTTGGAAACCATCAATGCACCTTTCAGAGTACACAAGGGTTACACTCTAAAACTCCCCAATAAAAGATATTTATTGCAAGGTTCTTCAGCTCTAAGGTATTTTAAAAGCTCAGAGTTACCTATTTTATGCTCACACTTTCAAAATAACTAAATTTTGTGTTAGCTTCACTTGCAGAGATGAAATGTAAAACACTTTCAAAGAGGACTGCCTGTAGTACGATAGGGTTACCACTGGTGTGACTGCTGAAACAAATGGACTAAAATGTGAAGTCTTAATTGCAGTAGATTTAGCAGAAATGTTAGGGGACTAATCTGACTGATACAGGGTGTGTGGGAAAGTCCAACAGCCAGGTATCAAAATGCCCCTGAACCCAGGAATTGATAAGCTGCAGAGGGCAAAGCAAAACTGAACCAGAATGGGGACACGGCTCACAGCCTGATCTCGTGGGAGCAGGAAAAGTTGCCGTCTCCCCAGAGGGAGAAAATCCGCACGCACACACAACCCAGACAGTGTTAAAACCCAGCTGCCGCTGCAAGACTCAAAGAGCAGGGTGCCTTGGCTCTGTTTCAGGGAGACCACCTCTAACAGCAGAAGACAACTCGATGGCTAATTCAGTCCTTCGCCTCACTTACCGATACTGCCAACAAGGCTGCTAATTAGTACTAACTGTGACGGTGGTTTCTGTGATGTGGACAGCTGTTTGCAAAAAGCTGGACTGAGACCACCAACTCACTTCAGACAGGCCACTAAACAGCCATCTGAGGGTAACCACTAGGTCGCTAGCAACTTGGGTTAGATTCAAACTAGTGACTTCGAGGTGAAAAGGCTCCATATTCAATTACCAGTCCCCTGAGTCATCCCATCTACCCTCTATAGTTATTTCAAAGTGCTTTGGTAAGCAATATCTGAGGACATTACATGTGTTCTAAATGCTAAAAATACATGTCTAAGAGGGCAGGGAAAAGATCAGATCACCCCAAAGTAAATTTTCCCTTCTATTTAAAAGAAAATAAAGGGGAAAAAAAGGTAAAAACATATGATTCTGAAACTTTAAGCTTGTTTTTTTCTTTTAAAAAATATATAAAAGCCCTCCCTCCCCTTTGCCATTCCAATTAACTTCTTGCAAATATCGTTAGAATACTAAAGAAAGAGACTGTTGTTGGGAAAGAGGAAAATACTCCTTTTACCTTTCTATTTTCTAAACAGCCAAATCAACAGTAGAAAGAAGGGGAAAGTATTAGAGGGTGGGGGGTAGCAGGAACAAAACAAAATGCTAAAAGATGGATTAAGGAAAGCCCCATGCTGAAAATGACAACTCACAGGGATTCCACCCAGGGCTTCTCAAACTTGCAGATTTGTTTTAAGAGTGACACTGCCCTTTGCTACCCCAGGATATGGTATTTTGAATGCAGCTCCAGAGGATCACTAATCTATTTTTGTCACCTATCCTGAGATCTGACAACTCTCACCAGGGGCTCAGTTAAACAAGCCTCCAGTGTTTAAACAAAGTGGATTTTAATTGAGAAGCACCTGTGGCGAGAGAGCCCACTGGCATTATTAAAAAGCAAATTTATCACAGTGAATCATAGAGGCGGGGGGTAGGAAGCGAGCGGGGAGGGGGGCTCCATGCATACGTCATACCTGCAACACAGTACCATTCCTTTCATAAAGCTCCCTTGAAGAAATGTGTAGGATCTGACTGCACCCCATGAAGAGTGTTTTTCCCAACAAGCTGTTCCCAGGGTGTTGAAAAGCTATCATTCATAAAAAATTATTGAGGGGGAAGGAGGTAGCAAAGGGGAGTTCAGAAGGCCAGGGATGCCAGTGGAAACCACAGAATGAGACCCTCTGTAAAGCACGCACCTGTTTACGGCCACCATAATAGCTTAACTAAAAAGCTTAAAGTTCCAAATTGTGGGGAAGAGAGGGAAAGCGGAGAAAAGAGAAAAAACATAATGAAAGCTTGTTCTAATATCAAAATACACTTTAACCCATGGAGTGCAGGCTCACCATGGATGGCTGCAATTTAGAATAAAGCACTAACAATGGAAAATACACAGAATTGAGGAGGACACTCTTCAGACACATCTTGGCATCATTAAATAGACATGGGCTTTGGCCAAAGACTGGAAATATTTATTTTAGTACTTTATAAAATACGTGGCTAAAAACCCATGTTTATTAAATAATATGTAATTATTTTAATAACTTGTTTGTTAAATAACATTTAATACTGGCCCAGAAAGCAGTTGAGAGTAGGTGCCAAGGTCTGTCTAAATGCAGTAATGAAAAACTCCTGTAACAAAGTGATTACAAGGCGAGGAAAAGAGAGTGAAGCCACCCTGCAAAAACTTGGATGATACACAAACGTTTGGAATGACAAAGAATGTGCTGTAATTCCAATGACACTATTAGTAAAATCCTTTGGTGATCTGTAACAGTGTTATGCATGCACGTTGCGCTCAGTGAGTGGTAAAAGTGACACGCTCACACCTGTTGGTTCAGCTGAGAAGGCTTGACATTAAGGATGAGACTCCTCACAGGTATTAAGTCAGTAAAGATATTTCTGCTTGTTTCCCCTAGAAGGAGCTAGGCATTTCCATTCCTTATTCCCTTATGAAGTCGTTGACATTTTTGCCAAGACTTCTCAAATCATTCTGAGAAAATGAATCTTACATTGAATTGAAGGAAACCACAGGCAGGAGGAATACACATATTCACAAAGAAGACAGGTTTAAGTCTTTTATGTTAAGTACCCTGAGCAAGGCTGGGAGGCTGCCTTTGATGCAGAGCCTCAGTCTTGTTACTAACTAACACTAACACTTCTGGCAGAATCTATCATGATGGGCCTATACGAAGCAGAACAGGAGGGCTGCTGCAGGAGTTTGAAGGGGAACATGGGGTAATACAAGACAGCTGTATGTTTCTTTTAATCAATATTATTAGCCCAACACTCTCCCATTTATTAATGTACAAGTAATACTGCATATATTTTTTTGGTCTTGTTCATATAACCAGCCTACTGAACCTCATCTTCAATCAAAAGAAGGATCAGTCTATAATGTGCAGAAGAAACATGTGGTGCACAGTAAAAAGGGGGTTAAGGAACAGAAGTATCACCTGCTCTACATTCTCTGTCTAGGACAACACAATTCTTTTAATGGTTTATCACCAAAGGGCTTTGATCTCCAAAGCCTGCCTTCAAATAATAATAATAATAATAATAATAAAAAAAAGCTAACACAGCTCGACAACTTAGACTGTTTAGATGTGTATTTCTAGTCCTAGTTATGTAGCAAATGTAGGCAACTACATCCACACTCAACGAATAGGTAACCTGAAGCAATTGGATTCTTCTCCTGCCACCCACCAGAAAAATAAACCCATAACCCCACAAAAATAGAAAACATTGCAAAGCCCACTTCAGGACACTGATCTTGCAACATGAGACCACAACTCATGCAATCATGAGGTGGTCGAATTAGAGATCCTTAGGACAGTGAGAAGAGTGTGCTGCAAGCTCACTGCCCTGGACTTCAAGAGAGCAGACTTTGGCCTCTTCAGGAACCTGCTTAGTAAGGTTCCATGGGATATAGCCCTAGAGGGCAGGGGGACCCAAGACTGTTGGGTGATATTCAAGGATTACTTACTACAAGCTCAGGAGTGTTGCATCCCAACTAGAAGGAAGTGCCCAGTTAGAATTAAACTTGGTTAGGGATGTGAAAGACAACAGGAAGGGATTCTATAGGTACGTAGCAAATAAAAGACAGACTAGGGACAAAATAGGTCCCCTCCGGAAGCTCTCGGAAGAACTGGCTACGCAGGATTTGGAGAAGGCTGAGGTTCTTAATGACTTCTTTGCCTCAGTCGTCACTGGCGAAGGCTCTGATCAAACCACCCAAGTCTTGGAAGGTAGATGCAGGGACTGTGAGAATGAAGACCTTGGGCCCACTGTAGGAGAGGATCTGGTTCAAGACAATCTTAAGAACCTGAACGTACACAAGTCCATGGAACCTGATGAAATCCATCAGCAGGTCCTGAAGGAGCTGGCAAATGAAGTTGCTAAGCCACTGTCATCATATTTGAGAAATCATGGCAGTCAGGTGAAGTTCCTGATGACTGGAAAAAGGGAAATATAACCCCCATTTTCAAGAAGGGGAAAATGGATGACCCGGGGAATTACAGACCAGTCAGTCTCACCTCTGTGCCTAGCAAAACATTGGAGCAGATTCTCCTGGAAGGCATGCTAAGGCACATGAAAAACAACAAGGTGCTTGGTGACAGCCAGCATGGCTTCACTAAGGGGAAATCCTGCCTGACCAATGTGGTGGCCTTCAATGATGGGGCTACAGAACTGATGGACAGGGGTAGAGCAGTTGATGTCATCTACCTGGACTTGTGCAAAGTGTTTGACACTGTCATAGAATCATAGAATAGTCAGGGTTGGAAAGGACCTTAAGATCATCAAGTTCCAACCCCCCTGCCATGGGCAGGGACACCTCACACTCCTTGTCTCTAAATTGGAGAGACATCAATTTGATGGATGGACCACTCGGTGGATAAAGAACTGGCTGGATGGCCGTACGCAAAGAGTTGTGGTCAATGGCTCAGTGTCCAGCTGGAGACCAGTAACGAGTGGTGTCCCTCAGGGATCCGTGTTGGGACCGGTCTTGTTCAACATCTTCATTGCTGACATGGACAGTGGGATTGAGTGAGCCCTCAGCAAGTTTACCAATGACACCAAGCTGTGTGGTTCTGTTGATACCCTGGAGGGAAGGAATGCCATCCAGAGGGACCTCGACACGCTTGTGTGGTGGGCTGATGCCAACCTTATGAATTTTAACCATGCCAAGTGCAAGGTCCTACACCTGGGTCGGTGCAATCCCAAGCACAGCTACAGGTTGGGCAGAGAAGAGATTCAGAGCAGCCCTGCGGAGAAGGACTTGGGGATGTTGGTCAATGAGAAAACGAACAGGAGACAGCTTCAGTGTGCACTCACAGCCCAGAAAGCCAAATGCATCCTGGGCTGCATCAAAAGGAGCATGACCAGCAGGTCGAAGGAGGTGATCCTGCCCCTCTACTCTGCTCTTGTGAGACCTCACCTGGAGTATTGTGTGCAGTTCTGGTGTCCTAAACATAAAAAGGACATGGAACTGTTGGAACAAGTGCAGAGGAGGGCCACGAGGATGATCAGGGACTGGAGCACCTCCTGTATGAAAACAGGCTGAGAAAGTTGGGGCTGTTCATCCTGGAGAAGAGAAGGCTGCGTGGAGACCTCATAGCAGCCTTCCAGTGTTTGAAGGGGGGGTATAGGGATGCTGGAGAGGGGCTATTCATTAGGGACTGTAGTGATAGGACAAGGGGTAATGGGTTCAAACTTAAACAGGGGAAATTTAGATTGGATATAAGGAAGAAGTTCTTTACTGTGAGGGTGGTGAAGCACTGGAATGGGTTGCCCAGGGAGGTTGTGAATGCTCCATCCCTGGCAGCGTTCAAGGCCAGGTTGGACAGCGCCTCGGGTGGTATGGTTTAGTGCGAGGTGTCCCTGCCCATGCCCATGGCAGGGGTGTTGGAACTAGAGCATCTTAAGGTCCTTTCCAACCCTAACTATTCTATGATTCTAACTCCAGGCATTTCACACAGAACATAATAGATTCTTATCACTCTTCCCACTGCTCTTCCTAGGTATTCCTCTACCCAAATTATCACTTCCTGGCATTTTCAGTAATAAAATATTTTCAGAAATTACTGAGAAGAGATCATCACATAACCACTTAAATAGACAAGCTGTGGATTTTACAACTAATTAGCCACAAGAAAGTCCTTTGCATGAACACTGACTTCCTCATTATTCCCCAATTTGCCCATAAGCAGTTTATCTTACAAAAGCCCACACACTAGTTTTATGATCTATTCTGTATGAAATGTGTCAACACATCACATGCTAATGCTTAATGTTAAACCGATTTCTCATTAAAGTTAATTTTTTTTTAAAGCTGTATATACAGGATTTATCATGAAAATCCAAGAAAATGTGTTTATAAGCATTCATTTAATAGCTCACAAAGAACACTTTAGGAGTGACCATCCTCCTGTACTGGACACCAGTGAAGCTGCTTCTTGAATCCTGTATTCAGTTGTGGGCCCCTCACTACAAGAGAGACACTGAGGTGCTGGAGTGGGTCTAGAGGCGGGTTACAAAGCTGGTGAAGGGCCTGGAGCACAGGTGTGATGAGGAATGGCTGAAGGGAACTGGGGTTCTTTAGTCTGGAAAAGAGAAGGCTCAGGGGGGACCTTATCGCTCTCTACTGTTACCTGAGAGCAGGATGGACCAGGAGGTGGGGTCAGTCTCTTCTCTCAAGTAACAAGTGACAGGACAAGAGGTAATGGCCTCAAGCTGCACCAGGGGAGGTTTAGATTGGATATTAGGAAACATTTCTTCACAGAGAGAGTGCTCAGGCATTGGAACAGGCTGCCCAGGGCAGTGGTGGAGTCACCATCCCTGGAAACAGTTAAAAATTTGTAGATGTGAGACTTAGGGACATGGTTTAGTGGGGGACTTGGCAGCCCTGGTTTAACGGTTGGACTCAATGATTTTAAAGGTCTTTTCCAACCTAAACTATTAATGATTCTATGATTACAGTAACTTTCAGTAACCACAAGTTTGAACCCCAAACAGCTGAATCCCCTCTATACGCAGAGTTAAGACTTGATAAATTGTTAGGACTTGCTAAATTGAGATAAATTATGTAATCCATATTGTTTTCTGTATTGTTTTCCTTATTGTTGTGGTGTGAATACAACGTAAGTATGTATTTCTGAAAAACAGGTCCACAGTAGAATAGGTACCATTACCAACATTTACTATGCTTATGATTTTAGCGATAACACCACCATTGAGAGGCCTGTTCAGTTCACACATTTCAGATGTATTTTTGAGACATTTTCCTTGAGGCAACATAGCTTTTGTGCCTGCTTTGATCACATTTTCAAAACCCCAAGAGAAGAAAATCTCTTAGAACACCACTACAAAAAAAAAAAAACACCACGAAGTAGAGATGAGGCTGCTCATCTTATAACAAATATTGATTATGAACACAGTCAACAGTGTTCAATGAAAAGCGCTAAGATACTCAGAACTCTTGAATTATTACAAAACACCCCACCAAAACTAAAGGCATCGCATACCAACTCCACAAGTGGACAGACAGGTTGAAACACTTTTTGAATGACAAAGTGAAAATTTGAACAGAAATTCCTTTTTTTTTCTTTTGTGCCATTGTGTCTCTAAACTTATGTTTGCTTGTACTCAAAACTGACAGGAAACTTTCAAGTTTAGCATAAATGTTTTATGGAAGTCACCTGAAGTACCAATGAGACCAAGTACAAGTTTGTCTCACTTATAGAATCACAGATTGGTTTGGGTTGGAAAGGAGCTTAAGATCATCTAGTTCTAACCCCCTTGCCATGGGCAGGGACACCTCACACTAAACCATGTCACCCAAGGCTCTGTCCAACCTGGCTGTGAACACCACCAGGGATGGAGCATCTACCACTTCTTTGGAAAACCTGTTTCAGTGCCTCAGCACCCTCAAAATAAAGAACTTATCCCTTATGTTTACCCTGATCTTCCCTGCTTTAGTTTGAACCCATTACCCCTTGTCTTATTGC